AATGCTTTGCAGTTTGCATTCAGCCTTCACTTGATATTTGGATTTGTTGTGATTGGGGACTGCAACACTCTGTTCTTATGCATGTACGTTTTTACAATTCTAATAAATCATTATCAGAATGATTTATATAAATCAGAATTCTAATAAATTAGTCTGTCGGCAGTTTTGTAACAAGTGACATCCCTAAGACTAGGGGGCTGTTTATCCATTGAATGTATGAAGAGTCAGGTCTGACAGCCCAGAACAGAGCCTTGTGCAAATAGCTCATTGTACTTTTGAGACTGGACAGCATGGTAATGTCCTGATGAATTAAGCATCTGTCCTACACAGGCTGGATATCATCTAAGGGCCTCCTAAATCCTGTTCCTTGAATGAAGTTGTTACTCTAGTAACAGTAGAGTATATGGCATTCAGCAGTACAGCCTATGGAAGATGTAGATACACTGTGCAGGGTTGAAGTATTGGGAGTTTTGTAGTTTAAACTTAGTCTGTGATGTTCAAATGTTTTGTTGTTTAATAAGAAAGCAGGAATGAAACTGAGATGTCCAGTAACTTGGACAAACTGTGATACCAGCGATCTGATCATATTCTAATATTATTCCACCTTACTTTTTTGATTTGGCATCTAATTTTACTTCATGTATGCATTAGTAGGAATTTCACTGCAGCAGGTAGAGGAGGAGTTTGTTAAGTGAGTCACATTCATAAGGTGTAAGTGAGAAGTGTGGATAGTGAGTCCTCTGGCGTTTGGTTTTGGTTGGTGATGTTACCTCTGTCGGTGCTGAGATGTGCCTCAGTTAGTTTGCCAGCACAGAGGAAGTAATCACAAAATACCATTACGAGTGACCTTCAAAGAAAGAGTTTTCGTCTACAGATGATAAGAACACTGATTTCCATTTGATAGAGAGCTGTCTTTTTTTAATTTATGAAGTTAAGGAACGTTTTTCTTAGCTTTAAAATCAGAGGGATATGTCCGGCACACTGGGATTTAATGAGTTTAAGGAACTGTGGGCTGTGGTCAATGGCTGGAAGCAGCACTTTGTAAGTTTTGACAGCGATAGCAGTGGGACGGTGGATCGCCCAGAACTGGAGAAAGCCTTGACAACTATGGGTAAGCTGTGCAATTTCCTCACTGCTGGTGAGTTCCAGCATTCCCCCATAACTATTGTCTTACTATAGTAACTGATCCATAGTATTTCCAATAAAAATGTTCAGCCGTGTTAATGTACCTGTCTTTCTGTTGCCAAATAGGATTTAGATTGAGCCCGCAGGCAGTGTCTGCCATCACCAGGCGATACAGCACTCATGGAAAGATTACTTTTGACGATTACATCGCCTGCTGTGTGAAACTCAGAGCTCTCACTGGTATGTCAGATTATAGCCTTGTTACCATCATCTCTGTAATGTGTTTTTATTTAATAAAATCTAATTACTCAGGTTTCTCGTGTTCAACTTTTATGTAAGATAGTAAGTTTCTTGCAGTGGATTTTACAGGCAGAACCATAACAATTACAGATGATGATTACTGAAGTCAGTGTTGAAAAAATGGACTAATATAGGGTTTGTTCCAGAGACTGGTAATGTTGTGTTATCAAAACTGGGAAACTGTATTTATTAATGGAGCAGAAGGTGCTGTGGATGGCAAACATAAGATCAGTTAAGTCTTGAGTTGCTTTGTTCTTGAGTTCTCATTCTTGTGACTTCGGGATATTTTTTTTTCTTCCCTTTGCTTTACTCTGCTTTAATTTCTCATTTTGTTCAGTCTTGAACCTTGTGTTTTGCTTTATAGAATCAGAATCATAGAATCACAGGGTTGGAAAGAACCTACAAGATCATCTAGTCCAACTGTCCTCCTGTGACCCTTGCTACCACAAAAAATTGTAGTATGAGGATTAATACAAACGGTTGACTGTAAGAGTCAAGCTCTTGCAATAGACATGTAGCTAAAATACAGTCAAAGTACAAAAAAATTGAGTAGTTCTTACTTATCTTTTGTTTTGTTTTAATATTTTTGCAGAATGTTTTAGAAGAAGGGACGCATCTCAGCAGGGTTTTGTGAATTTCCAGTACGATGATGTAAGTTAACTTTAAAGAATCAGTTAAACTTATGGGATAAAACTGAGGGAAAACTTAAAACTGGAATCAAACATGAATAATTTCAGTTAGTGCCTCTTGCCTATGATAACAGTATTACCTGAGAGGAGTTTTGGGGCTTCGTTTCATTGCGCTCTGTTGGATTCAGCTAGGCAAAAGGGTTGGAACCGAGTATTCTATTACAAAGTTCGCACACATTTATGGAGATGTTTCCAAATTCATTAGGAGTTTCCTGTGGATTCCTTTACCAGTACAGTTCAAAAAGCTGTAACACTTGGTAACATCACTTGGACTTTGTTTCTTTGTTTTAAGGCTTGGTAGGCGTTTTTCCTGGGAAAGTCTGGGGGAGGTGGTGGCATGGACACAACAAATGGTACTCTGTTAGCCTTGCAAGTCTTGGCTTCCTGGCTGTTTGTCTCTATGCAAGATAATCAGAACAGTACATTCAAGTAGTTCTTTGTTGTTATTGTTGTAACTTTAATTGACTATTAGATAGTTTTCATATGTAATTACAAAGCTTTATTGCTTATGAACTGAGTTTGTTTACAGTAGGAGGGAAAAAAAAGCGTTTTCTAATATGTGATTTTTTTTTTTTTCCAGTTCATTCAGTGTGTAATGAGCATCTAAATCAAAAGGGAAAGTGTGGATCACAGTTATCATTCCAGTTCGTGCTTTGCTTTGCCAAATTATTCCATGACTCTGTGCCTCAATATTGGAAATTACGTACTTTCTGAAGGTATTGCTTGGCATACTTGTTCAGTTTTGATAATGAATATAAACTAATCATGCACTGTTATGTGTAACTTTCAACCTGTGACTATTAAAGATTTTTTATTTTCATGAACTTCTAAGACACAATGTGTAACAAAGATTACGGACATATTATGTTTTTCTGTGCTTATTTTTTTCCTATGATTCACTAAAAATTGTTTCCTGGTGAAAGCTACCACCCTCTGTCTTCAGCAGTATCATGTAGGTGGCATAAAAGAATATTCTTTTGTCTTTGGCAATGCAAGATATGTAAAAACCGAAAGAGGTAGCTTTGGAAGGATCATCTCTTGACTGTTAGATCATCAGTAAAATTTAAGGTGCTTGTTTTGGCAGCTGGGCATTTTTAAGATGAGATCAATGACACCATCCACTGAGTGTAAGACTGCCTCTTACAGCTCCTCTTAAACAGGAATAAAACACAGCAGAAAACTCTTCTGACTGTGTGCCTTTGTATAGGGGGTATTTGTTTCAGTAAGATTCTTGCTCTCTTTGTGTCACTGCATAAAACATTTTAAAACAAGTAAGTGTGTCGTGTCAGTTTATACATTACCTTTATCTATGAACTTTAAGTTGCCAGACTGCAGCGACGTGTCAGTTGGTGTTTTTCTGTCCTTCTCTTTAAACCCTATCCAGTACCTTCCTGTCTTTATATGTTAAGTAGCATATAGCGTAGCTGCTGGGGCAGAGCAGGCAGGGAGCTGGAAGCTGCTGAGTGCTTGGCTGCTGGCTTGTGTCAGGCCAGCACAGGCCTGGTATGTTCATGAAAAAAAACATTAGGCAATAATGAATAAAGCATTCTTGTAGATAAGTGTAACTTACTGATTAGTCTGAGACCCCAGAAGCTGTGTTATAGGTATGAAGTTATGCCATAAATCTTGAGAATTAATGATGAAATAATACCCGAGAGTAAAATTACATCTGCAAATAAAAGCTTGAAGAATGCATTTAGCTGAGCTGTACCATGCAAAAATGGTCCAGCTTACCCACTTACTGTGGAAACAAGGAATTTCTTTACTTTGAAAAGTACCAAGGTGGGTTATGTTTTTGTGGTTTATTTGTTGTTTTTGAGAGAAAGGTGGGAGGTGGTGTTATTTATATATTATACAGGAGAGGTGTAGGTTAGATCTTAAAAGGAAGTTTTTCACTCAGAGTGGTGAGGCACTGGAACAGGTTGCCCAAGGAGGCTGTGGATGCCCCATCCCTAGAGGCATTCAAGGCCAGGATGGATGTGGCTCTGGGCAGCCTGGTCTGGCAGTTGGTGACCCTGCACATAGCAGGGGGGTTGAAACTAGAGTAACATTGTGGTCCTTTTCAAACCAGGCCATTGATGATTCTGTGATGATACCATTTTTGTTTGGCTTCTTTTTTCCATGCTCTCTGGTGCAAGGAAAGAAGACCAAAACCAAGACCCCAAGTCGTCTTCCTCACTTGAACCAATCACCTACTGGGCTGCAAAGTACTGCAAGAAAATGGCAACCAACAGGGTTATCTTCATGGATCTTGTAAACACAAAACATACAAAACTGTGAAGCAAAGAGTTCAAGAACCAGGAACAAATTCTAGTTTACCAAAGAAAGCATTGCCTTCCATACGCACTTAAAAAAAATCCTGTGTTCACAGGGACTGGCAGAATACATCACTTTTTGCTTTTAAACATAAACAAAGATAATCATTAAGGTTACTAAGGAGTGAATACAGTGCTGTCATCTTTAAAAAGGAAAAAAAAAACCAACCTTTGAAAATTGTTTTCCCATTATGGTAGATTAATCTATAACTCAGAATTGAGGTTTTCTCTTTCCCAGAAGACAATGAAAGAATCTTTATATGATGCTATGTGGGATGATTATTCTTGATCTTCATACAAACAACTGGGAATAGTTTAAAATTGACGTATTTTTTCCAGCTTACTTTTAGACATGCACGCCTAAGGAACAGCAGGACAGTAAGACCAAGATTGGGAAGCTTGTAGGATTATTTTCAAACGTGTAACTTGAAAACCAGCATCTGCACTTTAGGCAACAGCCTTTTTTTTCTCCCCATACATTCAGCACATTTTTTTTCCAGAGATCTTTAAAACAGGATGTAAATGTGCTAAATACAATAATTTGAACAAGAAGGAAAATACACACGTGGTCTTTGTCATTGAAAGTCACTTTACTGATGTTACAATATGTTAGTAACATTGAAAACCACAGGCATTTGTATTAAATACTCTCATAGAAGTAGATATGTGATGCTGTTATTAAAAGTGAGCAGGAATTTAGAACCCCAAATGACAACGATCTTACTTTATAAAAAGCAACGTTTTGTTCAGCTACATGAAAGCCAGATTCATTCACTTCAACAGCCCAATGCCTGTAACGCTGATGACAGAAACATCACGCTCAAAGATGGAAGTTGTGAATTGCAGCGCTTCATTCTGGTGTTTATCAAAATCTTATGTTTCTATTACATCGGGTACAATTTTTAAAGGATTTTAACTAGCAAAGATGACAATATGATGTAAATTGGTTTTTTCTGCCAACCTCAGCCCAACCCCAACGGTGAAACAGTTCTTGCCTCCCCAAATATTTTACCTGTCAGGGCTAGCAGGACTGGAAAAATAGGTAGCTTTCTCTTACAGTGATGTCCAGGATTAACAGCACAAAATGAAGCAACTGGAAGACAGCACCCCAAAAGCTTTGCAGAAGGAAGTGGTCATGTTGTAAGGAGTGTTTTCTCCAGCAGATTAAAAATTCTGTAATGCTTTGCTACTCTGAAAAAAAATATTTTGCGTTTATGCAACAATAAAAATAAGTACTGTATTCTATATAAAACACTACCTATTGGAATATATCTTTACCCTTAAGAAGGGAAAAATCAGGTTATATATTCATAGTTCAAATATGTTCTGGGCTGTATTTCCAAGCATAAAATAGGCAGATTCTTTACACAGGCAGTGAGCAAGAATCCTTGTACCAATCACCAAAATAAGCCAGAATTTACTGTTATACAGAGCCTTACAATATTGTATGATTAGCTGCTAGCACCACTATACTTACAAGGTCAGTCAGGCCTATATACAGAATTTCTAATTTGACTGTAAAAATAGACTCTCCATGCTGAAATTAGAATATATAAGGTCTTAAGGCCCCGAGACTTTTTTATAACCAAAACTTGTTTTTTTCTTAGTTACAGGAGTAGAGAAACAGAAAAAATAGCTTGTTGCTTTGACATTCTATGCTCCAGTAATGAAAAATAGCATGACACCTAGACTTCTTCCTTCAGAAGGCTGCTCTGCATTTCATTATCTTCCTGCTGCGCTATTTTGCCATTACAGCCATTGCAGCCTGTGTAACCAACGTTTTCCAGGAGTTTAAATGTGCTTTAGCTGAAGTACTTTTTAAAAAGAACTAAAAACAGCAGACTCAGCAAGGTGAGCCAACTTAAAAGTCAGGTACAACATTTCTCGTGTTCTGAACATTGCTTTGATTACTTGCCTGAGATAACACATTTATGTTGATGGTTGTAGTGTGTTTCTAACCAGTTGCAGCAAACTGCTCTGGGATGACACGGTATCACCTGCTGGCTGGAAGAGTTAAATGTTTCCAAACCTTAAGTCTTACCAGCGTCCATACATGAGGCACCAGAAATACTTTTTGTAAGTTACCTTGGAAAATGTTTGGGTCAAAGGAATGTTTTAGTGTCTCTGGGAGAATCCTATCTGTGTTGCAACTATATCTGCACAGTCAGCTTCACTGTTTTCCGTTTTTCCTGCTGTGTCATAGCAGAACAGCTATGTGCACACGGGAACTTCACCCCACCATGCAGGCATGGGACAGCAAGCTGTACAAACGTGCAGTTTGCCCATATTTGTCTCCAGGAAGTCTGACAGAAGACAAATCCCATACTGCTGCTAAATGTCACGTGGTTTGGAAGCCATGCAAACAGTGGGTCATCAGCAGTCTGATGGATGATGCATTTGGAGCAAAAAAAACCCCTAACTTTGGAGACCAGAATGCTTAAGTTCTTAAAAAATGAGGTAAATCAACCTTACATTGTGGTTGATAAAATTGGCCCAAACAACAGTGATGATGCAGATATTCAGATAGCTTACAGGAAGAATTAGATAGCCTTGAGACTTGGAGCAAGAGAAATGGGAGACAGCACAACTTTTAGGTTACAGTGATCAAAGAGGCTTCTCCATCCAAAACACTAGAGGATGAGATGAAAACCTGGATGAAAACCATCAAATGGTTCTACCACTGCAAATGAGACACGAGGCTCTTTCACCCATACTGTAACATGAGCAAAAGCACTGGAAAGACTTTTCCTAGGATGCTGAGTGGAAGGACAGCTAACTTGCAGCTTTTTTATCGTAGCTAGCCAACACAAGAGGCTGCTAGTAGATTTGGGAGTGCTTTTCAGTAGGAGTGGAAAGGGAATGGAAGAAAAGAACGGAGGAGAACTTCTGTATGCTGAGTTTTACACTGGAATTTGGTAAGTTTGCTTACGACAGCTAGATATGGGATTTAATAACAGAGCAATTGCTAAGAGCCCATCTATTATCACTTAGGCTTATGGAGTCTCATAATTGTTTCACGTTATATCCTGTTGGCAAAATCTAACTTCATGTATTCTCTCATTCTAACAGATTTTTTAGCACATCGAGGATGTCCATGATACAATGACTGAAAAGTTGGTCTGAATTTGTAAATATGCATGCCTGTATTAATGTACAGACCTACTCTTAGCCCTGGTCTTGAAAACAATTGTTTCTATCGATGTTGACAAGACCACAAGGTCCATTTAAAACCAGCAAGTGATTTAGGTAAGAGTACAGTAGCTTGACACAATTTATTTATCTTTAATTCAGGCTATAGCCCAAAGGCCCATTTGTTCATTAGCATAATTAAAATTAACTAAGGAGTACATGAGCTTAGCTGGGTCAACATATCATTAATCAGGAAATAAACTCTTAAAACATTTGGAAGTCACTGTGTTCAAAGATGCATCTCACACTTCTTATCAGGTAACAAAATTATATGTAAATTTTCAGTCCCAACCATTACTGGTGAACTGCCTGAGTGCATTCACCAAATGGCAATAGCATGGATTAATGAAGTATTGCCTCAACAGAATTAGCAGGTAGATTTTTAGTTGTTAAATTTAAATTGCGGCATCAGTGTGCAGCCTTATTATTTGAATAGAGTCTGTATTTTTCAGTCTCCACCAGTTAGCGATATTAATTTTATTTTAAATTACACACAGTTCTTCTCCCACATGTCGAAATACAAGACTAGGATTAGTTTAACTCATCTTGCTGTTCATATGCTCACATGGATAGGTAATTATAATGTACCTGAGAAGAACTGAGAACCTCCCCACTTCAACATATCTGGATATTCAGCATAGCTGGCAAAAACAAGCCTGAGTCTGAAGGAGTCAAAATGACTGAGCTAACTTACTAACCATACAAGTACTCTATCTTAGACTACATGAGGGATTATGCAGCTATTTATATTGCTATTGACAGTGTAACCGATTACTGTGAGTAAAGATACTTGCTGTCATCTTCAAGGTTACTAATCTGACAGCTTTCCACACATTTTAAAAGTAGGAAAGCATAGAATGCAAGCAAACACCTTCCTCTTTGGCCTCCATTGGCATTAGAGGCTTTCAGAGCCATACGCGTTCAGGTTTTGTGCCTTGACAAAATCTCCAGGCTGCCAACTTACTGCATGATTTTCTGCAGAAGAATTCTGCAAAAAAATGAACGTTTTGTGATGGTCTCATTCTAGACAATCAAAGTGAAAGTCAATGTTTATTAAACTCAGAAGTCATAACTAGACTTCCAGTTACTACATATCTCCAAATGTGACACAACTGGATCATGATATGCTACGAATGTATTATACCAAAACACGTAAGAAGCAGTAAGTACACAGTATGTTGAAAATACAGTCAGGAGAGCCATTTGTTTTCAAAACAAGTTGCTATGAACATTACACAAACAGCCAATATGTTACATCCAGTTCTGTTTGCCAAATCTTGCTGCTTCTTGATAAGGCAGAATGGAAAAGGAAGAGTAAAGGGTGGTAAGTATGAAATACGCACAGAAATCTAACAGTGTTATTCAAAATCACATGCTAGTTTGTAACCAAACAAAATGTCGTAAAAGGCACGTGATGAACAGTCCAGTTTTTAGAGACAAAATACTGAGACAAAAGGGGAAAGCAGCTAAGAGGCAACAGAATAACAGAGGTGATCAGGTTAGCATAATTTCCTAATTGAGGTGAACTCCTTGAGGGTTCTCCTCAGTTTCCAGTGGAATCAATAACAGACTTCTATCGATTTCAGGTGATTATGGCTCAGGCCCCAACTTCATGAGCTATGCATTATCAACTACTTTTCATCCAGTTACCTACACTCAAAGGAAGTCTTTGCAAAAAATATTCTTCTGTGCTGATAGCTATTCACTCTTCACAAAAGTGCAGAATCTTTTCCTAAAGCAATTACTAGTGGCTGGCTCATTCAACACATTCTGTCTTGTACTTTGTACTCACTCATATTTGCCTTTTTATAAAATACTTACCAGAACCTGTTGACTGTGAAGGAAATCACTGGAACGAACTCCAAGGTCAACATTTTGTTACAATCCAACACACAGCCTAATCATAAAATATAGTGCTTCTAAAAATCTTATATATTTTATACTTGCTGACATCTTAAAACATTTCTTAAGTTAATCTTACATATATCCAACTTTATTCACTTACTTAAAAGTTAAAAAAATATATTAAGAGGCTGAAAGTGTTGGCTTTGCTTCTTAAAGGAAATGCATGAAAGAGGTAGAAGACTCAGAAACACTGTGGATGCTCCCGTCAGGATAATATCTAATTGGTAATTCGGCTGTTGGCAAGGTATTCAATTGCACCATACAGAATCGGGTGTGTTGTTCTGTAATGGCACTGCTAGAAGCTAGGAATTTGTCATTTTTGGAGAGCTGGAGAATTATAGATTGATTTAACATGGTCCAGTTTTCTTACTGAGTGGAAATGTCCACCTTTGTAGTACAACAGACACCCTTTAGAAGTCTCAGTATTCGAAAGCTAACTATCCATTGATTTGGGAGATCAACATCTCCACGGTAAAAGTGTTGGGATTTTTTTCCATTTTTTCTGGCTAAACTCACTTGTACTCAGTTTATGGCCACCCAAACGTTTCAAGGGGACATCAGAGGCAGCAAGCAGAGCAGTCGAGCACATGGTAAAGGAAACTCCACAAACAAATGAAAAGACGACAATGACACTGGCCACTTGCCCAGCATTGGTATTATCTAGTGCAGTGAAATTGTTAGGTTTCTCCTAAGTTACAGTCTCATCCAAAAGAGCATCTGAAGTGCTCTATCAGAAATACACAGCAAGCCTTGCCAGAGGACTTCACATCACCACATCCTGAATTGAGCATTAGAAGTTATTCCCAGATTTCCAGGAAGTTTGTACTGCATTTTACTTCGAGGCTCTGTCTCTGTTGTCTACAGGATCGTTCCTGATCGCCCCAGTGTCGGGTTGGGTCATCTCACTCAACAGCGCTTTTTGGCTGCTTCCCCTTATGATGATTTAAGACAAAGTGCCACCGTACTGGTTCCTGCATTCCACCATACAATTGAGATTGTCGGCTACTTAGAAGATAGTACAGATTTTGGTCAAAAACCAGTTTCTGTGACGTGGTTTTACAGTACTGTACTTTCTGTATTTCCAAAGTTGTCTGCTCATGTATTAGAAAATTTGAAGTGTGATGATGTTAGTCATGTTTCTTTAGGCATTTGGCAAAATACACTTATGTATAATAGCTATTTTTGACATTATCAAATGTTTACATATATACAATCTGTATACTGAGATTATAAACATGTAAGGTTAAAAAAAAAAAAAAAAAAGATATAATCCTTGTTTGTTTGATGTTTAGGTTCAAAGAGTTGCCTTTCAAAGCTTGAAATCCTGTAAAAAAAATCCTATATTTCTTACTCCTGCATGCTGATTTCTACTACAGTATGTTGTTTATCCCTTACATGTGGAAAGTAAAGAACACAAGGTTCATGCACACAGCGTACAAGTTTACATCGGCCAGCTTCTCCTGAGTGCGCATTCCCAAGGCCGGTCAGCATGACCTGGAGCTGCACTAAGCCAAGGGAAAAACCCAACCCTCTCCCAGGCAGGATGTGGGGTGAGCATGTCTGGTACCGTGCGGAACAGCCTCTTCACATCCATCTAATGGTCCCCTGCTAGTTGGGATGGTTTGGGTTGTTCTTTACAGCAAGTCTGTAAAATTCTGCTTGATCAAAAAACAAAAACAGAAGGAAAAAAAAAGAAAAAAGAGACTGCTTTTTCCCTTCCAGATGAGAGGAGGTTCTCACTGTGATCACGGGCATCTGTGTTGATCTTTTGAATTGTCTGAAGAGCAGATGAATGTGCAACGACTCAGTGGTGCTGAGTTTGTATAGAATTTAAAGTAAAAAGTTCTTGCGTCATCCCAGGAAAACGGTGCAGCTAAATGGAAGTCTCCCATAGCTGGAGAGGCAAAAAAAGGGACACAAACACACGTTATACGCAAAGACACACAGCCTGCTACCCAAGCAGTGTGATTGGCAAGGCAGCCCCAAAGACTGGAAGGCCCCCGCACTGCCTGCCTGGAGCTGCCCATTGGCCCAGGCAATAGGCTCATTCCATGTATTGGGTACGTTCACACACATGCCAAGCAGGCCTGGAGCTCCCCATTGAGCATCACCGTGCTGCCCCAGGCCACTCCCTGCCCAGCACAGGGCATAGGCAGAGCCTGCAGCACCCATCTGCAGCGTTCCACTCAGTTGTTTCTCAAATAAAAGGACTGAGAGCAGTGGTGGGAATCGCATCACAAGCTATCGCACACCTGAAGTAAATTTTAGAGGAGTCGTGCTCGTTCAAATATCCACTGTTTGGGCTGACTGAGAATTTGCACTGCCTCCTGGTAGCCCCTGGAAATCTCATTCCAGAAGTTTCAGCCCACCTTGAGGAGCCATTCCAGGTCTACCAGGGCCTGATGCATGCCCCTTGCATCCTGCTCAGCTGCAGCTTATTCACCTTTCCAACATGCTGGAAGGAAGCCATCCCCCAGCCCAGATGAGCATCTCTGGCTGTTTCAGACCCCTGGAAGGCCAAGGAGAGGAGCCAGACTGCTCTTCTCAGCCCAGAGGCTGCCCCAGGCAAGCTTTCAGCTTGAAACAGAAGTACTGAAATCTGGGCTTGAGGTGTGAACGCCACCTAAATAAGTGTCTATAAACACAAGCTCCAGGACTGCTCTAATCTGTGCCAGAGGCTCAGCTTTCAGCAGCTGCTTGAGCTACAGATCTGAGGAAACATCAGCTCTGCTCTGTTTCTCAAAGATCTGTCTCACTTCTCTTTTGCAGAGCTACCAGTAAATTACACCAGCAACAAAAATGCAGTGAAGAGGGACACATACCCTGGCACTTTGCCTGTTTGCTTTCTTCTCCTCATCAGGAAGCGGAGGCATTGGGTAAGGGTATTTTCTGCTGGAAGCAATAGATCCAGTGGACGAAGATGGGGACTTTGCAGGAGACAGTGTCCTGAGATGTTGAAACACAAAATAAATGTCATGGCTTCAGGTCCCAGCACTGCAACAGCAACTGCCATTACTCTGAGGCTTGGTTCAGAGCCAAATATGTTGTCTATTATTAGTTTGATATTGGGGGGACAAAGTTCTTTGATCAGTAGTCTAATGATTTCATGACTATAAACAAAGGTATTTATAGCTCTCAGGAACACTGGAGGAAAAAACAAGATATCCTACTTATTAGAATTGTATTGCATATAAAAAAATGACTTTAAACTGATTTACATGCTAATGTAATTAATCATTTTAAAATTAACAGAACTAGAAGACATAGTGTTATGAACCCTAAAGTGAAGCAGTCATAGTATAAATACAAACTGAACAATGTTTTCTGCAGTGGATGACTAAATGGCAATTATCAGATATTAAGCTTATCTTGTACACCTCCTATATTGATACAAACATAGCAAATGAATCTATTATCTTACAACAATGCATTAATTTACACATACGCATGCACTTGGAGGCCAAACTGTTAGTTGTGAAGGAACAAAGGCATATACAAAGTGCTAATAACAAATTACTGGACATGCAAGCATCATACAGTGCATATTGTTCCAGCCAAAGAAAGAGTCTGATGAGAATATACAAAAATGGACTGATTAGTCAATGGCAATCAGCATTTCTGTACAAGGTGAGTAGAGTAAGCAAGAGCAAGGAAATGTTTGAATCACATGAAAGGCATTCTTTTCAAGTCAATAAGGCAGCAGCACATTATTGACTGAAATTTTATACCCAAGAAAGAACTCTAATGCTTCTGATTTGAGAATCTGCACTTTTCCCACTTGAGAGGTTCCTATTAGGCTCAAAATCTGGGCAGAATAAAAGGGGAAAAAAACAACAACAACAACCAGAGCTCGAATAAAATGAGAGCCCCCCCCCCTTAGCTTTTTGCTCTGTTCTGCAGACTGAGGGCATTTTTCTAAAGAGGCCTCCCATGAGTGCAGGCACATCTCCCAGAGCCTCCCTGAGCACTGCTGCCTGCTATTTCCTGTGTGCCCCTGAAATGGAAGCACTCCCTCAGTCCCCTCAAACAGACTTCCAATCCCCACACACATAGCAGGGGCTGAGCACCTTTAGGCCCCGGTGGTGAGCATCACTACCAACACCATGGATAGCAAGGAGCCCCAGGGAGCAGCCCTGGCCGACAGCTGAAGGCCCTGCTTCTGGGATCTGTACGATCAGGTCCTTCTGACTAGAGAGGGCTATAGACAAGCCAGAGGATCTTTTGTGTTTGGAACTGTCTTGTACCTTTAAATAATTCTTCCTTTGATTTAGACTACCACATCATTTCCTTGTGTCTGTAACTCCCTACAACAGCACATTCTCTTGTCTATCATACAAATAACGATTGATGCCATGGGCAACGAGGTGTCAATGGAAGTTACATGGTGACAGCTCTCCAGTCTGGCTCATGATGCTCTAATGCCTCACGCCATAGCCTCTGAACAGCAGTTAGCAATTTGGAGTCAGTACAATTATTCAAATATTGAAAAGCAGGTCCTTAACACATGCACTTTGATCACCCATTAAGATGAACTGGACATTTTCAGGAAAAAAAATTCAATAACTATTGCTGTGTAAAACAGGAAATTCATCTGTCCAGCACCACAAATCTGGGCACCAAACTGCAAAGCAACAGAACAGATTATTTTCAAAGAAATCCAGGGAAAGGTTCTCAGTGGTAACCTGCCCAGTGCTCTGCTGCTCACTGACCTACAAGTTCTCCATCTGTGCCAAATCTGGACAGAAAAAGATCGCTAAAAATAATATTAATGGATATAAATTCAAAAAAAATAAGGAGAGAAGGAAGGTGCAAAGACAAGGCAAGTAGATTCCACAGATTATTAGAGATCTCTTCATTTGTGGATTTTGCCTAACAGCTTCAGCAGGATTTAAAATCTTGATGGGTAAAGTTCTAATGATGTACCTGGAGATTAGAAGCAAAGAACCAAGCATGTTAGCTCTCGCTTGGTAATTCCTATGAGAAAGCTGTTTATCTGTGCAGACACCATCACTGTCTCTTGCATTCCCATAGGCTCTTCCTATGGGTAATTTTGGCATCACAAGAGTAGGCTGTGGCAACAAGGAAAGTCACAGCCAATTGACCCCTACATTAACACCAATAGGTGACCCTGGAAGGAGCAACTTCGTCCCAGGAATGGGGCACTTGGAATCTTTCCCTGCAGAGCAGGTCTTCTGAGTGAGACCCCCAGCAGCCTGTAATTTAGACTGTAACTCCAAACCCGAGCAGCAAATTCTAGCCTTGATTTCTTAGAAAAGAGAAGGAAATTGGAATGAGAATCAGTTTGTAGAAGCCGACAAATCACCTGTGATAGACCTATGATTAGCTAACCAGATACCAGCTGCCTGATTCTCACTGAACACAAGGTGTGCAGAGCTACTGGGAAAGAGTCCACAAGCAAGCACCTGCAGAGAGTCCAGCTGGATTCATACTGCTGGAGTCACTGTGTGAGCCAGAGGAGAGCCATCAAGATGTTAAGAAACCTGGAGCACCTCTCCTATGATGACAGGCTGAGGGTGCTGGGTTCAGACTGGAGAAGGCTCTGTGAAGACCTCACTGCAGCCTTCCAGTACTTAAAGTGCTCCATCTCTGGAAGCATTCAAGGCCGGGTTGGATGGGGCCGGGGCAGCCTGAGCTGGTGGAGGGCAGCCCTGCCCACAGCAGGAGGTTGGGACTGGGTGGGCTGTAAGGTCCCTTCCAACCCAAGCCATTCTGCAATTCTACAGTTCACCCAATGTGTGCTACATACAGCTTTCCACTGCAGTCAGCAGAGGCCTCCCAGGTGACCACCTTAAACTGGCAGCTTTTAGAGCAATATGCCAGTGGTGAGAGAGAAGAATTCTCCTTCTTGATGCAGTAGTGGAATTTTATCCTATGCTGTAGGGAACTAATATTTTAAAGATTAGGAGGAAAAAGAACAAATTGCCCAAAATGGAAGTGCTTTCAAAAATTATCTGAAACACCTTGCAAACATGATGCTGCCATTTTAGAAGGTTTGGAAGCTCCAATGTAGCTGCCTCCATTTCTTCCTCTCAGCCCCACTCCATGCTGCCCGCTCACCTACAGTCTGCACATGTAATCAATGTGCACGTCACTGCTTGCCTGCATGTGCAATGCGTGCATCCTCCTCGGAAACTTTTCAGGACAAACACATCAAGAATGCAGTTGCACACTTAAAGAAACAACTTTGCCTTCTCCACATAGGCTCTTGACACTTGTTTCTGCTATAGTTAGGTGCTGGGTTTTGTCATCTTTTGTCTCATCTATGGAGACTGTGAGTACACATCAGTAGTCATCAAATGCGTGCCCACAGATCTGAGGATGTGTGATCCTGTGTGACAAATGCAGTTCGGGTTCCTTGATCACCCTTCAGGTTCTGCCCTGCCATTGTGTATGTGCTGTGTATCCCAGATTTATACGTACTTTAAATGAGAAAGAGCCAGAAATGACCTTTCTCATTTATGGGGTGGAAGAAACAGCATTCAGGGACACTTGAGAGTAATGCTAGGGTTAAAGGAAGGTAAGACTTGATGGTTTTGGTCAAGGGAGGGGTCCATTCAGCTTTCATTGGGTTTTCAGTTCTCTTGCTATCACATCCATTAGCTTTCATGCCAAATGCTGCTTCCAGCTGACCCTATACAAGAAACTATGAAAGCAGCCCAACCTCCAACAGAGTTCTAGAGGTTTCACCACCAACCCTGAATGAAGCCATGCACCTAACACATTGTAAGGACTTCATTTCTGACCAGGAAGCAAGATGCCACTACAGTGTGTCAGTCTTCCTGTTGTACAAGCTGAAACTCACCGTGTGGGGAGATTGCTGGGGTCCAGAAGACGCTATGGAGCTGCAGGATGCCTGCACATGCTCCTTGGCAGACAGACATCTGCCTGCTCTGCCTTCGCTTATCCTAAATGGGGGAAATCCTGGCACTGTACGCTGTCCCCTGGTCATACAACTAGATGTCTTGTAACCTACAAGCGTCATTTCAGCCAAACTCAAAGCAGTGGCCCTGACAGATCTGAACTGTTGATGAGCTGTGTTTCATAGTCTAAAATAACTTAATGAAATTCACTTAAAAGTCAGCTCAGTGAAAACACTTCAAACTTGAATACATCAGCCTGACCTGACATCTGCTTACACAGGGCAGCTCTGTGTAGAATGTTAGCAACATAAATTAGCCTATGTTAGGAAGTTGCAGTCTCCTAAAACCACTGATGTGGTGAAGCATTTCAGCATTTTAATGCAGTTCCTTCTGGGAAACAGCCACATGTCAGGCTTCTTCAATGAAAGAAGCACACTAAGGGGTAAGGAGAGGCTCAGCCCTGGGGTGGCTGCAGGAGAGATGGAGGCTTTGCCTAGAGCCCTCATCCCAAGCACTGCTCAGCTGTGCTCTCAAAGTTAGCATTCACATGCTTTAATGGACTCTTCTGCCTAATTACTGAAATGAAATCCTAAGAGAAAGGGTCTCTGACCAACAGCAGAGCAGCAAGGCTCTGCTCCAGCTGCATGTCCCATTGCCAACATCTTTTTGATCTGAGATGACCATTTCTCTTATAGATAATCCATCTAAATAAATGTTTCCATTGCAACTTTTTATTTTTAAATATTCCTGAAGATATTAACTTACCCATAAATATTTGCAAGAATTCAAAAGTAGGCAGTGCCTGCAAAGAGATGAGAGAACACCTTCTCATCTCTGTGGTCTATAATTGTATATATGAGCACTGCATTTGGGGATTCTGATAGTTCATTTTCTGACACTGTTGTAGTTCCTGTGTCTTTTAAGATGCCCTTGACTGCCAGCAACCGTGCCCCTTGCAACAATGCTGAAAGTGGGAAGCAGTTTCCCACCCAGGATTATTGCTGGGGTTACACAGCTATGGTCTGGCACGTAAAATTAACATCTAGCTGAGACTTAGTGCAGGAA